AGCTCAGCGGCAAAGCGCCTGCCTGGCAAGCGCAAGGTCGTGAGTTCGGTTCCCGGTACCGGAGAAAAACGAAAAAAAAAAAAAAAAAAAAAGGATGAAAGAAAGTTAAGCAACCAGCTGTCTTTGTTTGAAAAATAATAAGTAGCTAAAACTGTTTAACTTGAAGGGATCTAGGCATAGACTATTTTGAATGTGGTGACCTGATAGAAGCAGGAAGAGGATGAGATACATATTGAACTGAGACCGAGGAAAGTAGAATGAAGAGTTTTTAAAACTTACCTCTTGGAAGTAGGCCTGTTCTTGGTTTGTGTGGGAGCTGGAGCAGGAACAGTAACAGAATATCCCCTTATTTGTATCTTGTCTAGTTTCCCCTCCCTCTGGCCCCGTAAATAGCCTCTTATACCCCTGTATCCATGAAAAAATCCCATCCACTTACCTCCTGTATACTCCTTGAGTCTAAGTTTATGTATCCCGGCTGTGTGATCTGTCCTGGTGTGTGGTTTTGGAAGGAGGCTGGTGCAGGCCCTAGGCTTGTAGGAAATTCAGGGATCCTCGAAAACAGCAGCAGCATGTAGGGGAATGTCATAGGCCCTTGTTCCAGGGACTCTTCTCCTACGTGAAGGGTCCCCAGGGAGTATTAAATAGAGCAGGCCAGGTAAGATAACCCTGTTGCAGGTCAGAGGGGAGTGTGGTGTGGAATGCAATGAACTACTTTCACCTGTGAATGACCCCAATTAGGTGGAAGGGATTAAGTGGCCAAGGAGAAGAATGGGAAATTAGGCCTAGGGTACAATTTGGACTAATATATTAAAATTACGTCACAAAATATTTTAGCTCTAGGCAAGAAAAGGCTTCTCTAACCTTAGACTAAGCTGTAGCAAGCAATGAATAGAATATGACACAATTTAGAATATAAAGTGTGTAAAGGTAGTATTGGTGCTGCCAGGGGGCTTTCTGCACTAGTTAGCTGTGGGAAAGAGCTTTGTAAATCTGAACTCCATGGTGACCCTACAAATTCAGTGGAACAACACTGGAGAGATGTGGGGTGGGCAGGGTGGGAGATGAGACTGGAGTTATGTTCAGTATGCTGCACTTCTGTGTGTGCTTTCATCAGAAGAGTCCTTTGCCTTCAAAACTCTTGAAACTGAAAGACAGCGTAATCTCTGAAATCCTTTCCATCTCAAAGATTCAATGAGTTTGTGAAACGACAAGTAAATTCTATCCATGAAAAATGTCAAAGATAGTGAGAAGTCAGGCTAAATGAAAGATATTCTTCACTAAAGATCTGAACAATTTTCTTGTCAATCATGCCATTCTAAATATGTTCAGAAGGAGTAGACTAAGATTTAAAGACACATTTTTTCAGTTAGTTCACTTGGTGCAATTTTGTTCCTTTTAGAATACATCATTTTAGCTAGTTTTTTAAAGTCAAGAAATACATACTTGTGGTTCACAAAATCAAACACTGTGCATATAAAATGGAAACTATTAGTATTTTTCCTGTGTTTGTATCAAATTCTATTCTCTCATTCAGTACTAACATTTCTTTTTATGTATATAGAATTTTTAGATATATGTAGAAACTTCTTTCATGTATGTCTTTTTGAGTTAGGATTTCAGTTTGATAGTAACTAATACTAAAGATATATAATATCAGTGAGGTTTAAATAATACCAATAAAGCAAATGCCATCACTCAAACTGAGGAGTGGAAAATTGCCAGGACCAGTGCAGCTTTCAGTGGTCCTGGGGGAAAAAACAGTGAGAGAATGAAGAAAATAATACAAGAGACAAAGCTGAGGTCAGGTGAGGTCCTCTCTCCTGATGTGAGAAGAGAAACTGCCTAAGAACTGTAGAGCATTCACTTATACACTCAGAAGGTTGATGTCAATTTCAAGACCTGTCTGCCTAGCAATGAGCTTGCAAGCTAGAACAGCTTGTTTGCATGGCTAGAGGAGGTCCTGGTGCTCTCTGCCGACTTTGTCTTAGCTGCTCCCTGCTCCCTACAGAAAAATGTCCAACACCTCACTATTCCTCTCCACTTCTAAAACCTAATAGTAAACACTATCTCATTTCTTCTTTGCCATTCCTATTGCTTTCTTTACATATAACTTGTTTCACAATAATGTATATCTAAATATTATATTATTTGTTATTTCAAATACTTATTTACTAAAATCTTATGTATTCATCTTTTGCTTATTTTAAATTTATTTTTGTGCAAGATTTCATTGATGTTCCTGTTTTCATTCCATTTTCCTCTTTTTCACAATTTTCTGTACAGCTCACTTCTATTATTTCATTGCTTTCTGTAAATATTTTAACAGGCGCACTGCATCTAAATTTAATAAATGTCTTCACCTTCAAAAAGATCCCCCAAATTTAGAACATTTTGGTTTCATTTGCTTCCTTTCAACTTCCTTTTTAAAATTTTTTTGTTAGTACATTTGCATTACATAATGCTTGCATTCATCTTGGGGAGCTGGTACATGTGCGTAACACATCTTGATTCCTTTTTCATCCCCTTCTCTTTCCCTTCTTCCCTCTCCCTCTGTCTCTTTGTTCCCTCACCTTTTGCAAAAGATCTATCTCCCTGTTTCTTACAACCTATCTTTTAATTTGCTCTTTAATTTTTATATATTTTGGATTTCCCATATAAGAGAAATAATACAATATTTAGACTTGTGTGCCTGATTTATTTCACTTAATATCATGGCCTTAAGGGGCATCCATTTTCCTACAAATGACTCAAGTTTATCTTTATGGTAAAGTAATGCTTCACTGAGTATAAGTACATTTTCTTTACCTGTTCATCTGTTAATGGACATGTGCACTGCCTCCAAGATTTAGCTGTTATGAATTGTATTGATATAAACATAAGCAAGACACCACAAATTTCATGCAATTATTTCTGCGTATTAGAGTTTTGTTTTCATTTTATTACCATAATAGATGTTTGTAACAGGGTTCTATATACTATTTTTTATATCAATCCATATATTTACCATTTTTGACTCACCATTTTGCCTTCCACCTCTCAGATTTTTTTCTGGAGTCATTTTTGAGTTATTTCTCTCCTGAAATCATCTTTCACATTTTTTTAGAGAAGTTAGTTAGTGTTCAGGCTTTTCAAGTTCTAATGTCTCTCAAATGTCTTCCGGTCAAATCCTATGTAAATTTGACACAATTATTTTTTCTTTCTCCTAATTATTTTTAATAGTACATGTTTGAAGAGTTCGTACATCTACACAACACATCTTAATTCTTTTTTCATCCCCTTCCATCTTTTGACTTATTCTTGAAAGCCACTTTCTTTTTTTTTTTTTTTTTTTTTTTGGTACCAAGAATTGATCTCAGGATTCTGTGCTTGCGGGAACTGTGCCACTGAGCTGTATCGCTGGCCTCATGGAAAACCACTTTCACTGACTATATAATACCAGAATGACAAATTTGCTACATTCAGTACTATAAAGATCTATTTGTCTTTTTTTCTCTTTTACAATAACAATTGAAAAGTGACTTTATTTTTACTGTCCTGCAGTTTTGCTTTGGTGTATCTTAATGTGGATTTCTTTTCATTTGTAATAGTTGGAATTCATTGTAATTTTGGAAGAATGACTGACATATTTTATGTATTCTAGAAAATTGTTACACATATGTCTTTGAATGTTGCCTTTTCTTAATTCTCTCTAAAAATATGAAGTCTTATTTTATTATTTTCTTTATCTTCTAAATTTCTCTCTCTTCATCTCTCTGTGATGCATTCTATGTAATTTCTTCAGTTCTTTATTTTAATGTTAATAACTATCTCTAGCAGTGTTTATTTTATCCATTCATGTAAAATTTCAATAGTTATAATTTTTATTCCTTAAAATCCTATTTGGCTATGTTTTAAATCCTTCATGTTATATAGATGTTTTCTTAGTACTTTCAAGACAATTTAATTTCTTTGTACACATTCTACTCACTCATTTTCTGATTCTTAGGAGCAAAATTTTCTGTTATTTCTGTAGACTTATGATGCTTTATTCTTGTTAGTGATTTTTAAATGTGAACTTATTTATGGAAAATTTGTCATAAGAATTGGATTTAAGCTGTGTTATTCCACAGAGAATTTGGTTGACCTTTGCTAGTTGCCAGAGGTGGCTATTCAAATCAATATAAATGATCCTATTGCAATTTTTAGAAAAACATTGAATTTAGTCTGCAGATATATTGACTTACATCTGGTTATAAGATTTCTTGCTGTCTCCTCAAAGCAGAGGTCTTCTAATGATCTCTTTGGTAAAGAAATAAACATTTTTATATCCATATTTAAGAAATACCTTTCTGTTGAATATTTAATCTTGAATAGAGTCCATTTTTTATTCCCAAGAACTGAAGCTAAAAACCCAGGGGTACAACTAGTAGTATTGGAGTTCCCATCCTTCTCTGGTTTATGGTTTATCTTTAATAGTTTTTGCTCGAGTATTTTGCCATATATAAGAATATATTTGTATGCAGTAAATGCATATAATGCATACATATATTATAGCTATATTTTGTTATTTCTACTGAGAAAATTTTAGCCTTTTTCCAATACTGTCAGAAATTAATACTCTTGTATTTCTACACAGACTTATTTTTCATTTAACAATATATTTACTCATATGCATTCATGTGTATGTTTGCCTCACTTTTTTTGAATGACTGCATAATATTAAATATTGTGAAAAAGCCATCATTTAACACATCCCCTACTAGTGATTATTTAGATTGCTTCCAGTTTTCCATTATCAAAAAAAAAAAAATCAATGTACACATGTTGGTTATTTGTACCTTTAGGTTAAACCTATAGTGGTGGAATTGTTGGGTGAAAGGATATAAGATTTAAATCTTAATGCTTATTTCTAATTTGTTTTTCAGAGTTTGCAACTACTAATTTGAGAAGATCAGTGTGCCTGTGTTCTCATTGCCTTATCTACATTGAGTTTTATGAGCACATTATTGTTAATTTGATAAATATTTAGCTTCTTAACTTTATTTTAGTATTAATCCCTGGGAGATAGAACACATTACAAAAATGTGCATAGAGGGCTTTTAATAGATAATTTTCATTCCAGATGAGAAACTGATTTAAAGCAATTTTTCTCACATTCAACCCTGAAATATAATCTGCTTAGGGCAATGGCATTAGAGGTCTCATCTGACTGTGAGTGTCCTAATTGCTTGGAGGATGCTGAGAGTGAGCCTGATTGGAATTTCTATTCCAAAATAAGAAAAAATGGCTCCTTACATTCAGGATCAAGGAAGAAACCCCTCCCTCCATTTGGTATATGGAGCTATCCTCCCCAGTGCGGTCTTACTAGGCCAAAAAGTGACAAGGAAGACTCAGCATTTGTTGCTGCAGAGGAGGAAGAATCTGTGGGGTTTTCCCAAAAAAATTATCTCCGGCTGAGCCCTGAAGGTATCCGCAGGAAAATCAAACCTTCGGGAGAGCTGACTATCCAAGATTTACTGAGGGACTTTGGGGTCACTGGGAAGTTCCAACCAATCTCCATGTCTCTGGGCCACTTCAGAGATCACGTGGTTATGAAGTTCCGGAGGGCTCTGTACTATTCTGGAATCTGGGTGTCCCATGTCCAGGGCTACGGCTGTGCAAAGAACTTGTCAGCTAAGTATTTCCAAAACAATCCTGGTAGCCTACATCGCCTGGTTCCCTGGCTAAAACGGGAACTGAGAGCTGTTTATGGAGATTATGGCTACACAGTAAAGAATATTCTAGCTGCCATCCTCCATCATATGACAAAATATGATTTGGACAGTGAAGCCTTCGTTCACCTCTTGGAACCTTATCTTCTACAACATACCCACCATTTCCTGCATGAGTTTATCAGTTTTGTTCATTCACCGTACAACATGAAGACCTATGACCAGCGAGCCATTTATCAATGCCCTTCTGTTTCAACATGGGTGAAAAAGGAATCTGTTGCCTTAGGTCCTATTTTGCCTTTGCCTAAAGAGCACAATCTAATGATGTCTCAGCATGATAAAAAGCAGTCTGAAGACAACCAGGGTCAATGGAATAAAGAGGGCAGGTCTGAGTCTCACTTGAAACCGTTCCCAAATGGTAACTCTTCCTTGAGACACTCTGAAGTACCACTAGTCAATCATAAAACAGCAAGCAAAATCCATGATTGGACCAAAGCCAAAGCAGAATCAAGCAATCAAAAAGGCACAATTTCTCCTGATAATGTGCTTCTGAGCTGGGCTACCCAAAGGAAAAGTGGTCCAGGAATGCTTAATTGCAAAAAACATATTCAAGAGAAAGACACAGAATGGATAAAGTTGTATCCTGGTCATATCCAAGATCTGAAAAAGACTGAACCAGTGGCACACACCTTCCATACCCCAGAAATTTCTAATTCAGTGCAACAGCAGAAGTACAATCTAAGAGAAAGAAAGGTTTTGCATATTGGCCCCCAAACAAATCTCCAGAAAAAACAAATAGAAAATACCAAATACTCAGATTCCTCACCAAAAGTTTTCCAAAGACTGTCCAGAGAAAGAGCCTTGATAAATTGGAAACCTAGAAAGAGAGATCCTTCTTGCAGTTGCATCTCAGAAAGCACCCTTTTTCCTACGAGACATGGTAGAAAGCTAAGTTCTTTCAGAGAAAAGATATCAATTTGCAGACCTTCTTCCCAGTTTATTGAAGGTGGTTCACACCACAGCAGAGGAATCCAAAGACAAGGGAGGTCCAGTACCCAGAGATCTAAATCCTGGTGTGTTGGACATAGAAGGAGATCTGAAGGCAGAGAGTCAAGTAATCTCTCTCTGGAAATAAGTCATAGATGTGGACCCTTCACTGAGAATACAGCCTGTGGGTCCCCAAAAGAAATGAATGTGCGGAGTCAGGAATCCAACTATAAGAGGGCATCCTTGACCCCATCCCAATGTCTGAAACTTTCTTCAACAGCTGGGAAGAGGCCCAAATGTCCTTCTAAAGGTGAAGGTGCATTCCAAACTGAGAGCCCCTGTAACAGTTCCCCCTGCCTACATATTGTGAAGCAAAGATCCCCCAGTAAAGGGGAGATGAAGCAAAAAGCTGCGTTTTCTAGAGCTAGAAAAACCAGAGGAGTCAGTCACAGGAAAAACAAAAGCCAGCATTCAGATATACAAACCACAGAGGAAATCGGTGATGAGTCAGGGGACCTGGAAGATACAGGGCCAAAAAAAGAGTTTTTCTGAACGTGCCCCTTCCTGCAGGAGGCCAATCTCCCAGTACCAGAAGTCTGCAGATCTACCAGAGGCAAGAACAAACACAGAGGCGCCCTCATACTAACAGAGGTGCAAGTTGTTTTCAGAGGAAAATAGTTTTTGTTGGCCTCCAAGTTTCTTTAAAAGTATGAATATAATCTAAAAACATTATTAAAAATATTTACCACATCACTTTGTCACTGGAACCAAAGCCTGATGATTAAATTCAAAGCTTCTCTTGGAGACAAACACATACTATTAAATTGTTCATATATGTAAATATGATTGCTGCCTGCCTTTTTTTCAATGAATGCATTTCTTAAAATATTTGTGTCTTTTTGTTTTTAGACTCAATTGTAGAGATTGATTGGCCAAGTTTTCATATTACACAAGATTGTACTAACACCAGGAGTAAAGATTATTTAACACAAGTTATAAAGAGAATGTGTTGTTAAATACAGTGTTATTTTAAATATATATATATAATGTGCGTGTGTGTGTGTGTGTGTGTGTGTGAGAGAGAGAGAGAGAGAGAGAGAGAGAGGTCTATTGTATTTCAGACCTAACGTATTTTCAATCCCTAGAAAATAAGACAGTGTCACTGTTCTAAGATTTACACATTGGGATTTCATCTTCAGTTGTGAAAATACATATAAACAAAAAATAAAAATAAATAAATATATATAAAATTTTTGGCACAACCTTTTTTTATCTCCGTGCCCTGTAAACAGTACTTTCACTTGTCTGGACATATATGTATATATCTTCATTAAATGCTGCCGTATTTTTAGATAATTCTGATTTCCCAGCCATAATAGTCCAGGAATGGTAATTACACTTAAGCCAAGTTAATCACAGCATTTGTCCCTTGGCCACACAACTGATGAGTCCAATAGTGGTCCACTGATTACATTTCCCTGGGGATTTTCAAAGTAGTGTCAAGAAAAAAAGGTCATCTCTCTTCTTGGTGACAAATGGTTTAAAATTTAAAGCTTGGATCCTGACAGGGACTCTATTTAACAATATTTGAAAAAAGTTTATGGTAAATAAAAAAAGGACCAAACTAACAGGAAGAAGAGCAAATAAATTCCTAAGGACAGTGTCTTGGATCTTTAAATTGAGCTCTTCCCTGCTTTTTATGTGCTTTTGTGGTTTGAACTCTCCCCTCAATTCTGTGAATTGATACATTTCCTCCTTGATTCCTTTATTTAATCAGGACTTCTATTTACTTGCTTCAAACAGTTCATTGGGAAATGGTGCAATAGAAGTGTACGGAATAGACGGGGAGCTCTACTGGGGAAAAGTCTGAAGGTGTTTTGTATAGTCTTGAAGAGTGAGAATGAGTTTGCCAAGAGCATTTGTTGGCAAAGTCTACCAAGAAAAGAACTAACTTAAAGAAAAGGAAGACAAATAAAAATTTTGAAAACTCCCAAGAGAAGCTCTGAGAAGACATGATACCAAATTGTAAATAAGAATAAAATCAGGTCAGTGCAAGTCCATAGCAGTCACTAAGCACCTAAAGTGAGCACAGAACTCAACATTCAAATAGGTTATTTTAATCAACATCCCATTTAAAAATAGTAAGGAAATCATTTCTTCAGAAATCCTAGAATATAAAAAATCAAATCTAATTTTTTCCTGGTGATTTAATTGTAAGCTTTGCCATCATCCTTCTGCTTCTTTTTTTGATGCATACTTTTCGTTGTTAGGTAAGTAGACTATTATGAATAATGAACTAAAACCACTCATGGAAAGATTAATGGGGATATATTCAAAGCTCTGAAATTAAGAACAGGAGATCCATTGTAGTAGTTCAGAGCACCACCCCTTTACAGGAGCTTTTTAACTGTTATCGTGGTCAAAATATACTTATGAGCCAGCCATGTTAGCTTGCATGCAAAGATGTAGGGAACTTCTCGAAGTATGGAGAGCCAAAGTGGACAACTGTATGCTTCAAACAGACGAATGAATTTTCTCTAGGAACAGATATTTCTCTGAATAATTTGGAGAGCAAATCTGGCTTCATTTAGGGGGAAATTTGCAAGGATATATGATAAAGCACGAGGTCTGAGTAGGAAAGAAATCTCATCCCTGGAGGTGTTCATACTTGGCTAGACCCCAGTATTGTAGGGAATTTGACTAGGTGTTTTCTAAATTCCCATTTAACTCAAATATTCCAAGATCTGTTAAAAGATGTCAAAAATTTACTAATGAACCAAACATAGAATACTCTTAAACAATACAATTTTTCATAGAGAAAGCCCTCCCAAATCACTCTAATGATTATACAGTAGCAATAACGACACAGTAATTTTAGTACTTGTGAATCACACAAATTCTTTATTACCTTAATCTGCATTTTGTAGATAAGATAGTGAAGTGTTGACATTGCCATCTGGATTGACACCGAGATGCCCCCAACTCCAGTGTTAATGGTGTGAAACCACAATTTGACACTATCTACTCTTTTGTTGCATTTTTCATTCATCTGTACCTCATACCCTGTGGGAAACACATCCACAGCACTGCGCTGCTTTACTTTCAGCACAGTGACTAAGGTAGGTTTAATTATGCTTGTATTTTCAATGAGGAAAATGAGTTTCAGAGAGATTGTACTGTAACTAACACCAGTACTGAGAGCCAAACTGAGATCTAATGGCACATGCTTTGTGTTTTTATAGCTTATTATGGTTGACTGAGCTTTTCAAATTCAGCTCAGAAACACTTACAACCCTTAATCACTGAGTCTTCTCTGCTACTAACAGCACTTTTTCATTTAAAATCCAGAATGCTAACATAACCATGGAGGGTAAGGTGCTAAGGGGTCACTTCTATTTATTTATAAGGAGAAAAAACAATTCCTCATTCCCAAGTTCACCCTGCCTTGTACTTTTGATGCTAATAGGATTCACCTCAGCCAGCTGGGAGGAAGCAAGTGAATGATTTTCAATACATATGCTTCAGTTCACACAGTATCTCCTACGGCATGTGGGTCAGCCAGAGGTCCAGGGGCAGTTTCTATCCCTGTCCTTCACTCTCTAGGCTCCTTGGGCCAATGCTCCTTGAAGTGCATTACAGCTGTCTAATGAAAAGCAAGTAAGAAGATATAAGGAATCTGAATATGCTTGAGTGTCTCGATCAGATGTGAATAAAAAAGGTTAATATCCATATCTTTCCACTGCGCATATTTTAGCTGGGGTGCATTTATCAATCCCTGCAGTTACTGCATAGAATATTCCTTTCATCTGTCCTCACCAGAACCATTAGAATGTCCTCTGACCCAGCTTCACTGACTCTTGGCACTATGTCCAGCTAGTTCTACACTGCTACTGAATTCTAATAGACAAATTTCCCTTCCTAAAATCACCCGCAGGTTCCTTTTTGCATGGAAGATAAAATCCAAGTAAGTTAGTCTTCTGTATAAGTTAGTCTTCTGTAGGCTCAACCCATTCCTGTATTCTCTGATGGTAAAAAACAAACCACACAAACACAAGTATCACTCACTAGTGATAGTGCAAGTAGTTAGCCAGAAATGAGCTGGAGCTGGGCAAGGGGCAGCAGGGCCCTAAGGAAAGAGTCTAAGTAAGGCTGTGGTCTAGATTTCCTGGTGTCTCCAGGCTTCATGCGCCCTTCCAAATTCCTTGTCCTTTCCCATTCCGGCATCTCTCCATCCTATACAGGCATTTCTTGAGGCAGAAGCCCCAAGTTGGTGACCTTGTGGACCCCATTTACATGCATTTGCATTGCAAATTTGACCTCCTTAATGGGCTCTGGATGTTATAGTGGTTCAACTACTCTGGACTTGAGGGTGGAGGCTCACAGTGGCTCACAATTAAGTGGAAAGAATCTCCATTAATTACTATCCCCAACCACACTTCAAATCCTAAGAAAACAAGACCCTAGAACTCATAGCAGTTGTCATCTGTGGGCACCACCTGCCTTTCTCTCTTGAGGGAGTACTATCCTTACTTATAAAAGTTAGCCATTTAGAGTGTACTATGTTTGTCCCTCACGCTTGCTAAAAACTACTACTTTCTGTTTCTGAGTCTTTTCTATTGAGCTCCCAGGAAAACTTCTCAGGGAGGATCCATGGAGCCCAGGCCACTACACTCCACAGAACAGTACCCAGCCCAGGCTGACCCTGGACTTTCCAGTAACCCTAGGATGTGCATCCATAAACTTAGCATAATCCCTGCATACATTATCTCTTACCAGTAGAGTACCTTGTAATCCTCTTATCTGCAACAAGTACATTCCCTCGCAGCACTTATTCGAGTGTCTTCCATATGGGTGCACAGACTTCCTGTAATTGTTCTGGTATTATTAATGTGTATGATCTTGGATAAGTTACCTTCTCTGCAATTCAGTTTTCACCTGAGGTAAACAAATTTTTTGACCTGACGCCCTGTAAACAATGTCACTGCTTTGCACCTGCACCAGCCCCGCACTTCTTGCCAGAGGCTCTGAGTGGACTAATGTGTCACTTGCTGAGGGTTCTTTATCACTTCACTAGACTCTAGGTGGGTTGCAAACTGTCCACTGGCCTATAATATAATTAGGATTCGGCAAAACTTTACCAGGGAATCTATGGATTTCCTTCAAATTAGTCTATGAATCTTTGATTTTTCAAATTTACTTTTTACTCACATAAAAATAATTATTGAGCCCCTGGAAGTGCTGCACAATTAAGCACTGAAAATGCATTTTGTTACGTTATGAAGAAATCCAAAGTGAGATAGAGGACATTGTTTGGAAATACTGTCAGGCGGTTTTGTCTCACTGATATAGAGTGTATTAATGAATATAAAGCATCTGAACACAGGCAGCTCCAGCGATTTCAGTAATATTCTAATTATAAGGCTACTAGCAGGTTGATGCTTTTAAGTCTCATAATTAATATAAATAAATATTCGATGTATCAAATAATACACAGAACACTTTGAAATGTGTAGGTTCTTCATATATACTTATTATTTATCACAAACTCAGACGAATAGGATACATAAATACAGAGCCTGGATGTTAGCACAAGCAGAACCAGATGCAAGGACCTTCACACTGAGTTACATCCTGGACTTTTTTTATTTTGATGAAATGGGGAACAGAGGTGTGGTTAACTCCCTAAGCTCCCCAAACTGGGTTTGAATTTGTGACCCTCCTGCCTCAGCTGGGATTGTAGACCTTTGGGAGTGCTGGCATTGTAGATGTGTGCCACCACACCCGGCTTCGCACTGACTCTTGCCTAGGAAGTTCTTTGC